TATATGCTTGCCACCTCAAATTACTAGTGTCTTGCCCCTGTACATCATACTTTCCGGCTAGCAATTGAGTCATGCCAGTTATCTATCTAACTCCTTTCAGGGAAAATTTTTGAATTGAAATAACAGGACTTCCAGTTTGCATCAGAAGTTCACATATAGTTAATCAGGGCCTCTTGCCCCCAAGCTTTCCATATCTAGTCTTGACTCTCATCTATCTAACACAGTTCTCGAAATTAATTAAGGAAGGACAGACAGACAAATGGACAACAGTGGGGAATTTATAGGTCTACAATTTTTTCAAATTGCAGTCCAATAATAATAATAAAAATAAAAGGATAAATGTAAAGTTTGCCAAAATCCAAAATAAAATAAAAGTAATAAAAATCAGAAAAAGGCATGTACATGTACCTACTATAAATCATAAATATTCTTATTTTCGTTTCTGGATACAAGTTACATTATTAATATGTAAGAAATTTATTAAAATATATTTAAGTGAAGTCTGATGATATATATTAACGCGCACATCACATATCATTCTACCTTCATCACAATTCCTTATTTAAGCCATTACTCTTTTATTATTAACGGACTTACCGTTTAACTTGCTGCTATTGCCATTTNTGATACCTATTATCTAGCAATGAATAATGAAAATATAACTTTAGTATTAATATTATAATTGTATAGATGAAAACTTATATACTTTATAAAATTAAACAATTACTAAATAAGCCAAAGTATGTGTTCAGTTCAAGAAGTAAGAATATCTTTTTGACAAGCATTTGACTATCCCCAGCTTACAATCATTCAATCAACAGATTAGAATAAAGTAGAACATATGAATTAAATACATCGTTGTAATCTGTTGATTAAGTACTTGTAAGCTGAGAATAGTTAAATATTTGGCCAAAAAGATTCCTTGATTCCTTCCATTAAAGCAAGAAGTTATTTTATTTTATTTATCAACAGAGTTTCAAAATACTATAAAATATAAATTAGTTGAAAAATTTTACTTAAAATGACTTTATATATATATTATATTGAATCATAATTAAAAATTTCTTTTATTTCACAATTTAACCTTTTCAATAAGTTTAATTCACAAAAAATGGTAACTTTATAAATTTATTATATCCAACTTTCAAATATTACATTTAATTATTGAATTTAGCATTTGCAAGATAAAAAAAAACAGATTCTGTTTCTGGAATTGAAAAAAAACTATAATTTTAAACTTGAAATGATGAAATTTAATTGATGATAAAAGGAAATAAAATGAACTACCATATGTCAAAATAGATATTGTTACTATATAATTACTTTCTAAAAAGATAAAAATTTTTTGCATATTTATTATCATTAGAATCAAAACATTAATATCAAATTTAGATGTTTTAATGGATTTTTCTTTTGAATAAATAGATGCATAAAATTCTAGAAATAATTTTAATTTGATACAAACTGATAATAGTGGTCATCATTATCATTACTATATAATATAATAATGACTATAATTATATCTTTTATACAATAGATACTTTTTAATAGTCAACATAAACATCAATAACATGACAAAATCTAAATACTTTATTTTATATACTATATATTTTAGTATTAACTGTTCATTGAAGGTTACCTGTCTTCTTTTTTTAACTTCTTCCACATGTGACTTATCATGTGCCAGATTTGGATCTAAACGGGCTCTTTTGCATAGCTCTTCATCACAAGTTTTGGTATAACATTGAGATCTAAAATTAAAATAACATTTTATTAAATTATATGTCTGATTATTAAATATATTACTTTTGCCTATTTTATAAAACCAAAATTCAAATTTCTTTTAATTCCAAATTTTTTGTTATAATACAGAAAATTCAGAATTAAAAGAAATTTGAGTAATAGTGTTATACTTGTAGATTTATATTAATATTATGTTAACAAGTGACTGTAAAAAATCGATGAAATTCAGTTTAATCTGATTTTCAAATTTGTTAATTTTTCACATTAATTAAACAATCAAAAGATCTAATTAGAATGTGACATTTCCTCATTAAAAGGATTAACAATCAACATGTAATTTGGCTTTTCTATTTTGCTCTAATAGTTTTTTATAGAGAACTATTTGTTTCAAGTTCCTTGAAAAATTTAACAACAAATTCCCTATAATCACAATTTGAGTTATTGTTCTAACTTTTAATCAATCATAAATATTATTAAATAATTTCTTAACATGTAAATATATCATAAATCTAAATCATCAAATGATTTTTATACATTTTAAACTGATTTAAACAAAAAATCTGACTTAGATATTGTTACTATATAATTATTGTACTATATATATAAAATGGCTGTAATGCCATTGTCTTGTGCTAAAATTAAAAATTAGAATTAATTTGAAAAATTCTGAGTGTATTCACTCAGAATTTTTCAAATGTCAAATAGGTCAATGTAGAGCATGTCTTTAACCCACAATTTTTGCTTACCAAGCAGATGTAGTATTAGTTTGGCTATACAGCCATTCATATGGTCTTTGCTTTCAGATGTAGGCCTATATTAATTTAGATATATAGATATATATACACATACATACATATATACATAAATGTATATGTATATACACACTATGCAGACACGTAGGCAATGAATGAATTCTGTACCTTATATTTTATATTTATGTAAATATATAAAATTTCAAGCATACAAATATACAGGTAGTCTTTAATTTACAAACAAGATCCATTTCTGGGGATTGTTCATTCATTATACATTTTTGCTTACTATTTGTTAAACTCTTTTAATTACTTAAGAAGACTGAAATAATTCCAAAATTAAAAGAGCATTTCGTACATTACCACTAATATAGATTTCTTTTTAAGCTTGTGATAAATTCGTTAATTTTTAAATCAAATCAACAAATGCAGAATTATATTAATGATATTTATGAAAACACCAGCAGATGTTAGTAGCCATTCAACTGTATAACTGATGATTGTGGAAGATCAATTAGATATGTTCTTTGTATATGATTTTTTTTATTATCAGTAAACTTTCACAAACACTAAAATTAACAATCTATATGAATTATCAACATTTCATTTACATTAAGTTATAAAGGCTTCAAAGAAGTGTACAATGTAAAATTTATATATTATTTTTATATTATTTTACAATATGGTAAAATTTAATATAAGATTTCAGTTTCATCTCAAAACAAATTTTTCCAATGAATATAATAAATTTTATTAAAGTTTATCACAAAATATTTCAAGATTCAGATGAATTAAGCAAAACATTTTTTTAAATGTTTTGTTTGATTCATCTGAATCTTATATTATTTTAAAATATTACATTGTATCTTATATAATATTCAAAGAAGCACTATTCCTTTCAGTAGTACAGCCAAAAATTTAGCAACTAAAATAATTTAGTATCAAACTGCAATACAAAAATATGCAAATTAGTGTTATGACATTGTATATGATTGCGAGTAAATCTATTATATCAGGGGTGGCCAACAAGTCAATCACGAAGCCAATTTTGGTCGATCACTCGCGATGTGTTGAATTAATGTGTTACACTCGAAACCAAACGTAACGCGCAAACGAAATGTAGTGATATTGGACCACCGCATCCTCCCTCAGATGCGGTTTTGTCGGTCCATGTGCTATTCATTTGCATACAGTTGTAAAAGGGGAATAAGAAATGTAGACAAAGGATCGTAAAACCAAAAAACAAAAAGGTGGGAAGAGGGACAGAGAGACTGGTCGGGACATGGTAGAAAGAGGAAGGGTGAAGTGGTGGTCCCCGAAAGTGACAATGTTGAGTTTCAATTTTTTTTCTGTTTACAATGTAAGTATTTTTTCTTCATGTTTTAAATTAAATTGTGGTTTTTCTTAGCTATCTAAACATAGTATATATTTCACACCATCCCCTCGCCACTTAGACTATCCTTACGACAACAAGTCGATCGCGACACATTTTTAAGATAAAAAGTAGATCTTATGTACACAAAAGTTGGCCACCCCTGTATTATATAAATAACAATCTCATAAAACCACTGAACAAATCACATACACAGATTTGAGTGATTAGTTTCATATGAATGTGAAAGGGGAAAAACATATTTCATTGTTACTGAATATGCAAAAACTACAGGTTCTAATGTTCAAATTTATATTTATACAATGACTGGTATTATTTTACTTTTTTTACACTCACACATAAACAAATTTCAATTGTTCAAAAAATTGGATATTAGTAGCAGGAGATGCATTGCTTCCTTGTGTTCTGTTGGCTGTGCCACTGTTTCTTTTTGTAACTTATTGTGTAATAGGGCTTTCCCAAACATTATTGAGAAATCCTACAGAACTTAAATGACAGATGACGATGATGATGATAATAATAATAATAAAATTCCAAACTATTTTTTTAGAAACACAGGTCAAGTTTGGTAATTTGTTGTCAAATAAGATCAGTTATCTTAAGTGAAATTTATTTACACAAGTGTTCGATTAAAGTTTCAAAAGTGGAATGACAAATTATAAACATTGATAAAGAAGATAATATAAAAAGAAAACATGTAACACATATTGACCCTTAGTACCGTAAGGAAATGAGATATACCTAGAATGTCCTTTAGAATATTGATAACCACTGTCTCGTACAACCTGCCTGGCTAACGGAAATAATTCGTCCCTTCTTGTAAGCAATGCTGGAATGTGTTTACAAATTTGTGCAGCTGCTTCGTTTACAGATACCTATCGAGCAAAAAAACACATTTAACATAGGATATATTATCATTTTCCAGCGATTCATCTATTAAATTATGAAACATTTATAATAAAAATTACAAATATATTAAGTTTTCTCATTATTTACGCACAGATTAATAATAAAATAAAATAAACACTGAAAGCACATGGCAAAAACAGCATGCATAGCACCCTCTGGTGGCAAATTAATGAATTTATTTATATATGTACTTTCTCCTTAGGCTTTTAAAAGATTAAAATAAAAATAAAATAAAAAAATAAAAAAACATACCTCATGTAACGTTAGTGGTTTTTCCGGTTTTCTTTTACAATCGAAACGACCATATATCGCAGCATATTTTCTAATTTCGTCCATTCTTCGCGGGTCATCGTCTGCCATGTTCATCACATACTGCAATCAATAAAACGTTATCATCTTCAACAAAAAAATTTTCCTTCTTAAGTTTTTGCATCCGAAAAACTTTCCAATAAAACTTTAAAAGAAAATAGATTTCCACCGAGTTATAAAAAAAAATATTAGTTAAAAAAATATTTTGAAGTAAGAAGTTAATTTTCTAAAAAGTTTTGCTTTCTTCTGTTTTCTGAAGAAAATGGCATGGAAACGCATTCAGATTCTATAAAAAGAGCCGAGAGACATTAATAAAGACGGAGTGTAGGCAGTTCGAACCTGGGATTTTCACAAGCTGCGCTCTCAACTATTAGAAAAGAAAACTATCAGCATCCCAGATTCATTTAAATAAAGTAGATATATCTTCTATAAATAACAGTCGAGATAATATAAATAACATAAATAAACAAGAAATTAATACAAATATAATAAAGGCCAGTCGAGTTAATGTATTTCTATCTTCCTATTACGATAAAAATATTTTTCAAAACGCCGATTATGTTTGACAAATGATTGTAAGATGACTGTAGATACGTAAAAGACGATTATAGGGGTCAAGTACAGTCAATCTGGCAGATCTACTATAAGTACAGCTATTGGCAAATCGGGTTCCGCACCTGATAGTTGCTATTTAATTAAGTATAAACCAATTAATAATGAATAACTAACGCTAATTGATCCTATTTCTCCTTTTGGCTAATTTGTTCAAATCAATATAATTTATCGTGCTCACTTAAATTCTCGAAATAAATATAGCTCTTATGAATATTCAAAAAGCGATAAATTAGCTTTATTCAACTGTAATGAATATAAGCATAATCATCTATTACGGTTTTTATATCCCCACAAATTATTTTATTTACTTTTCAATTATATTTCGTTATAAATGCGCCCAAAATTTTTATATTTAATGACTTATATTAGTTAATTAATTAATTAAAGTGTTTCGCTTTTTTTAAACTTTATTTTACAGGAAATTCAATA